CCCTGTGTCGGCTAGTGCCTTTGCGGAGAAGAACGCAGGCGGATGGAGCGAAGTGGCCAAGAAGGGATCTTCGAACGCGAATCGCGAGGAGGACAATGGAAACGCAGCGTTCAAGGTGGTTGCGCCCCGCAAGAAGGGCAAGCGGTGATGCAATGCAGGATGATTACGGAGATGAGATGATTGAGATGTTTGGATTTAGAAGCGGAGCCGCGCATTGGCTATTGTGTATGTCGAATCGATGATGTAGCATAACAGCGTTTCTGGCCGAGTCAGATTTTAACTTATCTGTGCATTATCCCTTATCGGAGGGACGTAGATTAAGGTTATAGTTGAGGTATGATTCTAATTATAACTATTGACTTACATGATAGTTATTGTGACTCATGAGGGGTAACATACTCCTCTTTAAATAGTGCTTATCGTATCCCCGAGCTTAGCCCAGTATTCTCACTTCTCAATTCCCTCCCCTCTCTATCTACAACCATCAATTACTACTAGTACTTATCATCACCATGACCACCCCAATCCCCTACGGCGCCCCAATGCGCCAACACTTCTGCCTCGACCCCAAGTGGAAGAACCTCAACCACGGCAAGTCCCATCCCATCCCATACCATCCCCACCAACACAAATACTAAGAACATCTACAGGATCCTTCGGCACCTACCCCCTCACCATCCAATCCGCCCTCCGCGCCCATCAATCCACCGCCGAATCCCACCCAGACCTCTTCATCCGCCGCCTCTGCCCGTCCCAAACCCAACACTCGCTCAACCTCCTCTCCACCCTCCTCAACGCCCCCTCCACCTCCCTCGCCTTCGTCAAAAACGCCACGACGGGGGTCAACACCATCCTGCACAACATCCCCTTCACCTCCTCCGATGTCATCATCTACTTCGACACCATCTACGGCGCGATCGAGTACGGCTTGCTTGCGCTGCAGGAACGTACTGGCGTGCAGTTGAGGAAGGTGGAGTATACCCTCCCCATTTCCCATGATGAGATAGTGAGAAGGTTTAGGGATGTGGTGGAACGGGTTAGCAATGAAGGAAATGGGATGAGGGTCAAGGCAGCGGTGTTTGATATGGTGGTTAGTGTTCCGGGGGTGCGGTTCCCGTTTGAGGCATTGGTCAGGGAGTGTAAAGAGTTGGGGGTGTTGAGTGTCGTTGATGGTGCGCATGGGGTGGGCATGCTAGAGGTGGATTTGGGAACCCTGGGGGTGGACTTTTGGACGAGTAATTTGCATAAGTATATATTACCCCTCCCCCTCCCTTTTTTTACCTTCTTTCCTGTTTCCCCTTTGGGGTGTATATGTGGTATACTGATACTATGTGTTTGGTATGTGTTAGATGGCTCTACATCCCCCGCGGCTGCGCAGTCCTCTACGTCGCGCCACAACACCAACACCTCATGCGCACGACATCCCCGACTTCTTGGGGGTATATTTCCCCCTCTGCGGCGGAGGAGGCGCGTGTGAATGGCACTACTGCGGACGCGTTCAGGTATTTGTTTCAGCAGACGGCGACGAATGATGATACGCCGTATTTGTGTGTGCCGGAGGCGTTGAAGTTCCGGGAGGAGGAGTGTGGCGGGGAGAAGGCGATCTATGGGTATTTGGAGAGGTTGGCGAATGAGGCGGCGGATCTTGTGGCGGGCATGTTGGGGACGGAGGTGTTGAGGGATGAGGAGGGGTTGTTGACGAGGTGTGCGATGACGAATGTGAGGTTGTTGGTTAGGGTTGGTGGTGATGGGGAGGAGGGAGGGTGTACGGTGGTGAAGAAGGAAGAGGTGGGGAAGGTGGCGCTGTGGTTTCAGAATACGCTCCTGGATGAGTATAACACGTTTGTGCCGGTGTTTGAGTATAATGGGTGGTTGTGGACGAGGTTGTCGGCGCAGGTGTATTTGGATAAGAGTGATTTTGAGTGGTTGGGGGGTGTGTTGAAGGAGTTGTGTGGGAGGGTGGGGAAAGAAGCTCTTCAGAAAAAGTAGTAGGTATTTAGACTACTACGAGATAGTAGGTTGTCAAGGAATAAAAGAATTCATAGATATACAACTACGGACTGTATATGCATCTGGCAATAACCACAGGAAATAAGTTGCTGGCTCACTCGGTTGAACATGACTAAACCCAAATACTCGGCATCTACAGCTTATGTCTCGATCAGATCGGCCGTCTCGCCCTGGGTCTGCTCCGGAACAGTGTTGTCCCGGGTGTCCTTGTTGGCAATCTTGCGCGCCGACCGCGCATAGAACTCGTCCAGCACCCGCTTGGGGATACGGTTGAGCAGATCCTTGGGGTAGATGCGCAGCAGGTTCCAGGCAATGTCCAGCGACTCGAAGATGCTGCGCGACTCGTACGGCGACTGGCTGATGAAGGTGCGCTCGAACTTGTCGAGGAACTCCAGGGACAGCTTGTCCTCGGAAGACAGAGCCTCCTCACCAACGACAGCTTTCATGGCGGCGGCATCACGTCCAATGGCGTACTTGGCGTACAGCTGGTTGGACACTTCAGAGTGATCCTTACGAGTACGTCCAGTACCAATGGCAGACTTCATCAGACGAGACAGGGAAGGAAGCACGTTAATCGGGGGGTAGACACCCTTGTTGTGCAGCTGACGGTCAATGAAGATCTGTCCCTCCGTAATGTAACCCGTCAGATCGGGAATGGGGTGAGTGATATCTATTCCTGTTAGCTCACAAACCAACCCTCTAGGAAGAAGTCATACCATCGTTAGGCATGGTCAGAATGGGAATCTGAGTAATGGATCCGTTACGGCCCTCCACACGTCCAGCACGCTCGTAGATGGTCGACAAGTCAGTGTACATGTAACCGGGGTAACCACGACGACCCGGCACTTCTTCACGGGCAGCAGACACCTCACGAAGGGCATCACAGTAGGCGGACAGATCAGTCATGATGACCAGGACGTGCTTCTCCAGCTGGTAGGCGTAGTACTCGGCGGTCGTCAAGGCAAGACGGGGGGTAATGATACGTTCGATCCTGGCAAAGTCAGTGATTGCGTCTATTCAAAAGGCGTAGCACATACGTAGGGTCGTTGGCCAAGTTCAGGAACAGCGTGACACGCTCCATACTGCCGTTCTCCTCAAAGTCGCGAGTGAAGAAACGGGCCGTTTCCATGTTCACACCCATGGCAGCGAAGACGATGGAGAAGTTCTCCTCGTGTCCATCGTGGACGTCCTTGGTAGGACGCTTCACCAGACCAGCCTGACGACAGATCTGAGCGGCAATTTCGTTGTGAGGGAGACCGGCAGCAGAGAAGATGGGGATCTTCTGTCCACGAGCAATGGAGTTCATGGTATCGATGGCAGAGATACCGGTGGAGATCATCTCCTCAGGGTACACCTGATCTTATCAGCACAGCCACACCCAGCCCAAACATCATATACATACACGAGAGTAGGGGTTGATAGGTTGACCGTTGATATCCAGGTAATCCTCCGCCAGGACCTTGGGGCCCTTGTCGATTGCGCGACCGGAACCGTCGAAGACACGACCCAGCATGTCTTCGGACACACCCAGCTTCAAGCTGTGACCGGTGAACTCGACTTTCGTCTGGCAAGGTCAGCTGCCGATCCATAAGTGGTAGAGTTCTGGATCAATTACCCTCTTGACATCGATACCCGGAGTTCCTTCAAAGACCTAGTATGATCGCATCCCGTTAATGCTCCGCATGATAAGCCATCTCACTAGCACACCACAGCTGCTACATGTTTCGTACCTGAACGACCGCCCTGTTTCCTGTACCAGAAATAATATATTAGCTATCTGAGCGTAACCGCTGTCGCATGCGATGCTGGACATACCGCGAGCTTCGAGGACCTGACCCGACCGCTCGGTTCCATCGGGGAGAGTGAGGGACACGATTTCGTTGTAACGGGGGAATTTGACCTATGAGATATCTTGGTAAGCTGGCTATATGTATACAGGCCGATCCGTGGTTGGGAGCAGCGGCGCAACCATGCAAGTTGACGTACGTTATCAAGAACGACCAGTGGGCCGTTGATACCTCCGATGGTGTTGTAACGGATGCGAGGCTTGACGCTCGTCATCCTGGGATCAACAAAGTCGGCCATGGTGAAAGATGCAGCAGCAGCAGAAGCAGCAGGTGCGCACAGAAGGAGACCGAAAGACGGGGGGAGGAAAGTTGAGGGGAGAGACAGCAGCAACAGCAGCTCCTTAGTCGAGGCCGAGTGTCGACGTATGCTTTGGCTGCTCCACGCCGCCGCACGGGCGGTGACCAGCCACGTGATGCTACACTAGAGTTAGTAGTCTACCTCCTGCCGAGCTAGATACAAAGCATCATCAACCCTAATGCAGAGGGTTCTTACTACACTATGATTCTATAGAGTGATTTATTCTGGTAAAAGTATGGAGATATGTTATTACCGCTATACTCATAATGTTATACGCTTTGACTGACCTGGTATGGACCCACCGAGCTGGACAGCAAGAGATCAAACCACATGTCAAAAATGGACTTGCTGTCCCTAACTCATCTAACACTCAAAGGACTGGAAGTGTGACCGCAGTCGGGTGTCTCTGATCCTAACTGGTTAGTGATGACATGCATAGCTGTTGTAGTCTGCATCCTACCCCATACTGTTTCTCCAACGTCCACCGTCTTGCCTGTTCCTTATCTTATCGCATGTGCTGCGTTGGATTATATAAGCACATACACCAGCCAATCTGGACGTGGCACTGATACAGTATCCGTATGTATCATTTGGAGTACTTGTTCATTATGATTGATATTCAAGATACACAAAGTCTGTATATTATCGAAATTTTTATTAAGGTATGTTCCATATTAATAGTAAGTGTGTATTATCTTAACTGCAAGTCAAGGAACAATTCCGAGCCCATTCCGAGCCAGTCTTCAAAAGCCACCGGAAGAACCATTGATCCCGGGCTAAGTTTGACAGTTTTGATTGAATTATCGCCCGCCGATTTGACTCACCAGGAACAGTTTATACCCCGCCTCCGAGATTCAACCCCTCTCTTTTAACATACCTTTCAATCCTCACAAAACCATGGCCAACTTGAGCGCGGACCAGAGGCTTGCCCTCATCACCGAGAACCTCCAGGAGGTTCTCAACAAGGACATCATTGAGGCCATCCTGGCCGAGGGACGCAGTCCAAAGATCTACTGGGGTATTTACTTTTTTTTTCTCCCCTCCCGCCACAAGATCCTCCCTATCAATCAAAGCGGTACAACTAACACGTTGATCTTCACAATGCGACAGGTACTAGCCCGACTGGCAAGCCTCACTGCGGATACCTGGGTACGACTCCCCCTCGAAAACAAACGTGGCCGTTTATCAAGCCCCACTAACGATAATGCTCGATAGTGCCCGCCGTAAAGATCGCCCAGTTTCTCGCCGCCGGCGCGGAGATGACCATCCTGATCGCCGATCTGCACGCCAACCTGGATTCCCTCAAGTCGACCTTCGAGATCGTCGAGCACCGCGCGAAATACTATGAATACACTATCACCGCTCTGCTACAGGCCGTCGGTGTGTCGACCGAAAAGCTGCGCTTCGTTCGCGGTAGCTCTTACCAGAAGAATGCCGACTACGTGATGGACGTTTACCGTCTGTCCTCCGTGGTCTCGGAGCACGATGCGAAGCGCGCCGGTGCTGAGATCGTCAAGCAGTCCAACAATGGTCCCCTGAGTGGTCTCTTGTACCCTCTCCTGCAGGTCCTCGACGAGCAGTACCTGGATGTGGACGCTCAGTTCGGTGGTCTTGATCAGCGGAAGCTGTTCGCCGCGTCGACCGAGTGGCACCCCAAGCTTGGCTACAAGAAGGTGAGAGCATTGCCATACCAATTGCCAAATAACAAACTCAAACTTACACATACTATTAGCGCGCGCATCTCTGCAACGCCATGGTTCCCGGTCTCTCCGGTGGCAAGATGAGCTCCAGTGAAGAAGGTAATATCCACCATTCCACATATCCCTCCCCCCACCATACCCTTATCAAATACTAACACCTACCAGACAGCAAGATCGACCTCCTCGAATCCATCGACAGCATCAAGAAGAAGATCCGCAAAGCGCAGGCCGCTCCCAAGGAGATCGACAACAACGGTATCCTCGCTTTCGTCCAGTACGTCCTGCTGCCTGTGTCCACCCTGAAGACCGGCAAGCCCGAGTTCCGCGTCCCCCGCGACCGCGACGGCCTGGAGCCTCTGGTGTACACCGACATCGAGAAGATGCACGAAGACTACAAGAACGACATTGTACGCCCATCCCCCTTCTCCTTTATGTTTCACATCATACTAATCAAATCCATCTAGCTCTCCCCCCAAATCCTCAAGCCCGCCGTCGCCGACGCCATCGTCGAGCTTACTGCTCCCATCCGCGCCGCCTTCGACGCCAACCCCGACTGGCAGGAGGTCACGCTGAAGGCTTACCCGCCTCCGGCCCCGAAGCAGAAGAAGGAGAAGAAGCAGAAGGATAAGGGCTCTCGTCACCCTGGTGCTGCTAAGGAGCAGACTCCTAACGGGGAGCCTCCTAAGCCGGCTGAGCAATAGACTTGCAAAATGCATTGCTAAAACTACTACTACAACTTCTTAAATAGTTATGGATTTTTTTTTTTTTCTTATTGCGTGTCTGATATACAATTGCATGTGTGAGCAGCAGCGAATTAGCTAGAATTGGACCTTTTTGAGTTATTCTTATGCGCATGGTATTCTTGGTTCCCGCTTTACTACTACTTTGATGGTACTATTTACAACGCTGTTGTAATTGCTGGCAAGGGTATAGAACGCAATTGATTTGAAAATTACTTCTACTTAGATTACTGTGTCGGTGTCATTACCTACCCGGTATATCCGCAGAGGATAATGACGAGAACCACTCGCAAAGGGTATGAAGGTAGAAAGCGATTTCCATGACGATAATAATAGACCCATCCTCATTAATATTTTTTTAAGCTAATGTCATCACAATCCGGCCGTCATGAGAAATAATAAATCAAATCGTAATCATACATGTTAAGAAGCGAATAAGGAAGACCACCACCACACTGAGACAATCACATTTCGACCGTAAGATATGCGCCGACCGCCATGATATGACCAGACCTGTCAAGTTATCGAGAAAAGCTAGAAATAGGAAAGAAGAGAAGAGAAAGAGAAGGGCGACAAGGCTAGCATCCTAGTCAACCTTGGCGAGAGCCAATTTCTTTGGTGTAGTTAGGTTGTTGGATAAGCGGACGTTGGTCTTCTTGTTCTTGGTCTGCTTCTTGAGCTTCTTGCGCGCAACCATTACCGGAACGGATGAGTGCATGACCAGATAGTTGGAGAAGGAGCCGAGGAGGACGCTGTGAGAGAGGCCATGTCAGTCAGTGTCTGTTTGTGTCAATTGGTGAGAGGGAGCTTTCTTACCCCTTAAGTGCGCTGCGGCCTCTGGCTCCGACGATGACTAGGGTGGGGTCGAGTCCATCGATCTAGATCAGTTAGTGGTGTAAGAACGAAGAGTGAGGAGAACACGTACAGCTTCAGTGATCATGTGTTTTGGGCTCTTGCAGTGGATTGCCTCGACGGCTACGCGGACCTGGAGCAACGTCTTGCGCAGCAGCCGAACACAGGTCTGGGAGATAACCTCGACTGCATGGACACGTTCCGACTCAGCCTTGGACATGCCGCGAGCATCCACAGAGCTCGGCTTGCTGTCCGTACCCAGACGACCGAACAATGCGCGAGGAAGATGAGAGTTTGAGTCGTTCTGCGCCTTTTCGGTAGTCTCTGCGGTCTGTGACCCAACCACGGCCGCTGCATCTTGGATTGCTTTGGCGCCATCGCCGATCTGCACCGAAGCAGGCGTGGCAGTCTCATCGTGCATAGCGCAGACAGCGAACATGGTGTCACCGTCCCGGAGAATAGTTCCTATGGTCCACTCCAGCGCATACACAGACTCCTCGCTCAAATCAGTAGCGACAAGGTATTTGCGTTGCCGTCGACGGCTGCTCTCGGTCTCTTCCTGGGCCTCGGCGTAGTCTCCGCGAATGATCGTCCGGATGGACCGATGTTGGACTGTGTTGTCGATCGAAGACATCTGGATACCCAATTTCTGGGCTCGCTTGATATCGGACAGCTCTGCCTCATCTTCGGATCCAAACGGAGTATTGGTGGCCGAGGCCGAGTCGAAGCTGGTCCGAGGATGAACATCAGGCTTCTTCAGCACAGGTCCTTGTTTCGCTGAGTGTATCAATTCCGGCTTATCCGCCGTATCGGGATTTGGACGGAATTCAGGTGCAGTCTTAGTAGTAGTGAGCGGCTTTGGTCCATGATTAGCGGGAGTTTCCTGTTCGACGGCCTTCTTCCGGCCACGCTTGATGTCTGAATCGTCCTCATGAACAGCGTCTTCGTCGCTAGAGGTAGATTCGTCGGCATCCTCGTCACTGGTCTCAATTAAATTGTTTTCGCTGTCAAAACGATCCTTCTCCAGTCGCTCCTCGCCCGGGGCCGACGATTTGGCTTCAGGCTCGGGAGACCCTGGGCGGGAATCCGGATTAGTAGGTTCCTTAGTCGCAAGCACCATTGGGCTGGTCTCCTTTTTACTGGCTACCACAGGTGGTTTCACCGGATCGGCGACTGGTCCACGCGTATTGGGGTTTAGCCAGCGGCGCTTAGGAGAGCTAGAGCGAGCCGGTCTGAGAGAGGAGACTCGAGAGTCGAGAGAAGTTCCGCGCGTAGCATTGCTGCGGCTAGAGTCCCTGCCTCTGACGAAACTTGGGAACCCGACTTTGAGATCCAGCCCTGACATCACCGCGGCCATGCTCGGCAGCCGATTGGATGGTTTCTCCTGAGGTTGTTGAGCAGCATTCCGTCTGGCCGCATTGCGGTTGGCGACGCTGGGCGGCATATTGGTCGACAAATCCCAGCGGATGCTGGGACCAGACTTATGTTCCGGCTTATTTAAATGCTGCTGGTTGCTGGCGCCGTTGTTGTTATCTCCCGGCTTTTCTTTGTCGCCTGACACAAAGTCGGTGGATCGGGTGGGGGAGACTGATCCGTCGGATTGGACGGACCCTTTTCTCTGCGCAGAAGGCAAAGGGGGAGCGACAGAGGATGTAGTGGCGCGGGAAGTTGGGGGAGCGGTTGTTGCAGTGGCGGGCGATGGATTGAAGGATGTTGCGGTAGTGGTAGTGGTAGTGGTAGCGGTAGCGGAAGAGCGACGAGGAGATGAAGGTAGTGGAGAATAAGAGGAGGAATAGAGTGAATGATGTCGGACTGAAGAGGGGGGAGTCACGCCCACGCCAATACCGGCGATGGAGCCATGCCGCGGGGGTAAGAAGCCGGGACTCGGTGAGATGTCCAGCAAGCTCCGGCGCCGAGACGTCGAGGGACTCTCGCCCATCTCCTCTAGCAACTCCCGTCGCTCTTCCTCCAGAGCGGTCTCCAGCGACATGTGGGCGGGCTTTCTGCTATAGTACGGCATGGTGGGCTGTGGGGTACGACCTCGCGCTTGTCTTTGGCTTTGCGCGGGCGGGTTCCAAACACTAACCCGTGGGCTAAATTATTAATGTGAATCAAATGACGAACCTAGCTAGCTTCCCAGCTTCTGCCAGTGCCCAGCTTTGGAATGTGGAGAGGAGGGACAATGGTCATAAGCTGCTGAGATTCCGAGCTTTGTTCCCAGGTCCTGTCCCGCCTTTAGAACCAGGTTTCTCTTCTTCTAAGGTTGCTGTTCCGTTGCAGGAGAGCTTTCTTACGTTAAATGCTTTATAGTTATAAGTATAGACCCAGCTGAGGTTCAGATAGGATCTTGAGGAGCACGCGACAATGATGGAGCTGGATGGAGACCGGAACTCCACGTGCGCAACGGCTGCAACTCAAACGGCGATCCTCACTCAGAGCGTTTCTACCTCGGATGTTACCGAAGAGAAGAGAGGAAGGCTGGCGTCTGGCCAGCAAGCCGACGGAGAGGAGACAAAGTAGCTCGGATGCCTCCGTGGACGGTGAACAAGTGTGAAGGGAGATGAAGAAGGATAGGGTAGCTTCACCCAGCTGTGTGGGGAGAGGATGAAGAAGAAGATGAAGAGGAAGGAGGAGGAAGGCGAGGCGACCAAGTTGGAACAAGCCAAGGCGTCCAAAAGCTCGGCATGGCGGGGTATCACGAACAATCAGCGAGCAGCTGGCTGATCCTTATAAAGCAACGAAGCACAATCAATCATGGTGACCCAGGTGGTGCAAGGTGCCACCAACCGGTGATGAGCATCCCTTGCATTGACCCTCCCCCAGGGCTTGATGCCGGCGATCATCCTGGGGAGGATCGGTTGGCTGGGAGTGTGTGTGCTGTTAGTCTCACTCACACTTTCACTCCTGCCTGGATGCAGCTGGAATGCGAACCCGTCGATTCTTCACCAATCGAGGTGGACCTGTGTACGCAGGATGCAGTAGACCGGCTGCTTAATTATGCTGGAGGTGAGGTGTTTTGTTCCTTCAATCACGGCCGAAGCTGTCATGGTCACGTTCTCTCCTTTTGCCCCCTTCAGCACCTCCTTCCTAATTACTAGCGGTCAACAAGGTATATGACTGTTTTATTACTGGACACTCAAGGGTACTAAAACACGGGATTCAAAAACTGAATCCTGCTTTAAAGAGGTGAAAGCAAAAAGCAAAAACAAAAGCAATGCACTCCCATGCCTGATTGCCAAATCACTCAATGTACCATGCCGCGAATGGATGTGTCCCTACATGACCTGAACTCCCCAACCCCAAAGACAGCACTAGTAAGTGATAAAGAAAAGAGAAAAATAACGCATGAAAGACAGTCCACCCCAAAGATAACACACCTCACCCCTTGGTCCTCTTCTGCTTCTTCTTCTCCCCACGCGCAGCCATCGCTTCAAATGCCGCTTCAGGAGGACTCGACTTCCGCTTCTTCCTCGTCTTCTTGGTCTTGCTCGGCCCCGGCCCCAACTCATTAAGCTCACTATCCACGTTATACTTCTCCTCCAACCGATTGATGAGGCTGTCAAGACGGCCAAGGTTCCGCTGTTTAATCATTGCAGCCAAGTCACCCACGTCCTCGGGCCCATCCTCCTTCTTCCTCCCTCCCTTGTTCTTCCTACCCGTCTTAGACTTGTTCTCCTCCATCTCCTTGCTCACTTGTTCCGCCTCCTTCGCTTCCTTCTGTGCCCGCTTTAACCTGGCCTGACGCTTCTTGACCGGCTCCTCCGTGTATTTCTTGTAATTCTGGGCCCTTCCTTCCGCAATGGCCAAGTCAATGATGGCGCGGAATCGCTCATCATCATCAATGACATTACACAGCATCACAGAGTCGTAGATTTTATCCAGATCGCCCCGGTGGACTTCATAGGCCTGCAGTATATCCTTGACCTCTTCCTCAGACCCCTGGTATTCCTTCTTGAGCTTGTCGATCGCATCAACGTCGACAGCGGTGGCGAATTGCTCCCGGTAGAACTCTGTCCAGTCGAAATCCTCATCTTCGTCCAAGGCGTCCTCCGTACTACCGGTCTTATCAAATCTCGCGCGGCGACGTTCATCAGACAGGACGGCGTAAGCGAAGGCGATTTTTTGGAATTTGCTGTTTGCTTCTTCTTTCTTGCTCGGGGGTGCCTTGTCTGTTACTGGTGGTTAGACAGCCCATCCCACACAAGTGATAGCTAGATGACAGATATAATAAAGTATAGACTTACCAGGATGATGCTTCAGCGCCTTCTTCTTATAAGCAGCCCTGATCTGGTCTTGAGTCGCTTGGTCATCGAGATCGAGAACCTCATACAAATCAAGGACTCTGCGCCGGGGTATGATTATTTCACCGTTTTCATCGCGTTCGACCGGTTCCCGCTTTTCCTCCTCTTCCTTTGAAAAAGGCCCCTCTGGATCCTCCCCAACTTTCCATTTGTAGCGGTGAAGAGGGTTCGTGATAGGCATCTGGCCAAAAGACCAAAAAGGGTCCAAGTGAGTGGTGAGAAAAGGAAAAGAGGAGACGTGTCTGTTAGGGAAAGATCACAACAAGAAGTGATGAAAAGTAGCTGAGGTAGAAGACATAACACCTCGGCCGTGAATGTTCGCGCGCAACGCAATAAAATCAAACCAGACAAACACCCCAAAACGCGCGGGACGCGAATCCCACTTATCTTTCCTAAAACAGTTTAGCCCGACCAGCCGGCAGCAATCGATAACCTAACTAGTTATCAGATAGTATTCTATGCGGTCATACTCTCAACAACACCCCACTCATACTAACCTAACTATCACATAAATAACTCTTGCTTCCCCTTCTCTACACACAGCACATACACACACACACATACACATACACATACACATACACATTCTACAACAATCCAAACACAACAACCACCACTAGAAATGACCACCACAACAACCACAGACTCGGGAATCCCCAGCACCCCCCACCTCACCTACATGACCCAATGCCTCGCTCTCGCGCGCAAAGCCCCCGCCCTCCCAACCAACTTCCGCGTCGGCGCTCTCCTCCTCAGCCGAAGCAAAGCCGACACCACCCCCAACTACTCCTCCGACATCCTGCTCTCAACCGGCTATACAATGGAACTAGCCGGTAACACGCACGCCGAACAATGCTGTCTATCCAATTACGCATCCGTGCACGGCGTACCTGACGAGCAGGTGCACAGTGTCCTCCCTCACGACGACCCTGAAAGGAAATTGGTCATGTATGTGACTATGGAGCCCTGTGGGAAAAGACTCTCGGGCAATGCGCCGTGCGTGGAGCGGATCATCAAGACGAGACAGGGTGGGGAGGGACGGGGGATACAGAAGGTGTATTTTGGGGTGAAGGAGCCGGGCACGTTTGTGGGGCAGTCGGAGGGGGTGAGGAAATTGGAGGAGGCGGGCGTGGAGTGGGAGGTTGTGCCGGGTTTGGAGAGGGAGATTTTGGAGGTGGCGGTTGAGGGTCATGAGAGGGAAAAGAGGGAGGAGGTGGTGGGGAGGGCGTTGGAGGGGGTGAAGACGGATTTGGATAATGTTAGTGAGGAGGAGAGGAAGAGGCAGGAGAGGCAGCCGAGGAATCCCATGAAGAGGATGATGGAGGGGGAGACTATGATGTGAATTTTTTCTCTTTGTGGGGGTGGGTTGGTTGGTTGTATACTAGGGTTAGGTTGGGGTGGTGGGCGTGGGCGTGGGGGTTGAGTTGATGCCGCTGGCGGTATTCTTGTTCTATCTTGGTTTGGGGTATGGATGTGTATAGTGGGTGAAGGCTAAGGTGCATAGTATCTATGGCTTAAGAGGTGATATGTACAAAGCTAGAGTGCAGATGGCTATTGAAGGACTAATTACGAAAACCAAGATTTGGAAAGTGGAACGCAGCTTGGATAGAATGGAGTATCATTGGCATGCTGGACATGCTTCTGTCCTTGAACCCTACTCCCTCACACTGCGCAAAGCACGAGGTAGTAGATCGGTATTATTGTGTCTAATGTACCTGTCTAAGCTCCCTTCAGAGGATCACCGCTTGTTCTGTAATCGGTATCGGAGATAGCGACGGGACTGCTATCCCATATGGTCCACTCTTGCGGTGGTGCGCGGGTATCATGGCCTCCATGGTTCTATCCACAACTTAGGCAATATTTTCAGTCACACATCGGCCAATCGATCAGCCCACCTGGACACCCTCAAGACCCTCAAGGACCTCTTCACCAACACCTCCCTTCTGCAAGACCAGCTTGAGCATCTTTGCAATTGTGCGCCGCTTGACACCGCCCCGTCGGGGTCTCCAAACGCCGGCAACCTCTTCGCCAGTAGACGGGTCCGTCATGGCGGCCTCTTCGGCAGCGGCCGTGGAGCCCAGAGTCGCCACGTTCTCCGAGTTCGATACACCCGGCTGCGTAAGACGAGACGGGGGGTCGACTGTGCGAATAGAAAGCAGTTTCAGGCCATCCGAGTCACTGTCTTGGGTGACAGAAACAGCCAGGACCGTATCCGCAACCGCAATCTCCTCCCTGTTAGGATCAAAGATGACATTATCGCCCACGGAAATAACAAGCAGCGTCACAGGAGGCCGGACCTGCTTCGTAGAAGAGAGACGAGGCCCCGACGGCGAGCGGGGGTATAGATATTCAGCGGCATTCCAATCATCATCGAAGAAGGGGTCTTCCTCTCCCTTAGACTTGAGCTTGGGCAGCTTAGTCGACAAAAGAGCCAGATGAGTCGTCAAAGACAGCAACGGCAGCGGATACGACAAAGGTTGAGACAGCAGCAGCACCTGCACAAACATCATTAGCACCATTCACCCCTCCTACCCTACCCCCCCTTTCCTTAGAAAGATCACTCACATCAATATACAACCTCCAATGCCACCTCTTATTAATAACCAACCTCCCCTTCAGCCCACCCGCCATCTCATCCCCACCCATCCCATCACCAGCACCAGCAACCGACTCAACAAGCGGCTCGCGCATCATCTCCGACAAGAAAACCGGGAGGGCATCATCATCCCGAAACCCGGGGATCTCAATAGACATCTGCACCCACGATCCATGACCATGACTGGAGGTTTTTTGGCCCTCTCCTCCTTCATTATCGGCATAATCTTCTTGCGTTTGCTGTTGCGATAGGTTCAGTGCCTCGGCTGCAACAACGGTCTTTTCCACCTCCGCTTTCACTCCCACTATGGCTTGCGTGCCGTCAGCGAACCCCACACGCGCGCTACCGTTGGTGCCCGGCAGAATGTCTGTTTCTGCGGTCAACGGGCGGAATTGCGTGGGCGAGCGGCCGTCGGGGCGGATGGGGCCATCGGGGAGTGATAGTGATGTGTAGAGGTAGGAAAGCTCTGCTGGGGAGATGAGGAGCGATTGGGAGGCGGAGGAGGCCTGGCGTTGGGCGGTCATTTTGTAGTATGATTTTTATGAATGTTTGAGGTGAAGATGGTGGAGATTATATTGGCAGGTCGATTGGTAGCCTGCGATTTTGCGGGAATTGCTGCAAGTCTTGCGCGGAGGGATGGCTGACGGTAAATGGTACCACGCGGGGTTGGTTGGAGGTAGATTGAGGCTTCAATGGTGGTGCCTTCACTTGTAGGACGGACGCTCTGGATCAAGCCACTCACGCCAATATCGAAAACTTCTAGACAGCGTCGCGACAATTCCAGTCTCGATGGGAACTTTTGATGTAGTGCTGCATTGGGAAATTCTGCCGGTGGGCGGGGAATGGTTGTTCCGTGACTATCGCTCGGGAGTACGCCAGTTGCGTAACAACAGGAGAGCACATGAGAGCATCACAACACTACAAGCTTATTTACTAATTCTACAAGATGAATTGGAATTGTAATGATAGAGTATGTTGACAGACAGTGTCTGTTCCATTAACAGTAGATATAAACAGACGGCTCTCCCGTCGGGTAAGTCCTATATTACAAAATTGTTCAAGCCCAGAACCAGCCACCAGTGCTCCTTCCCAAAAAGTGGTAAAATTGTACAATAGATGAATGGAAGTTCTTTTGTTCTTGTGGAGGAAGCTTTCACATCGCTTCCCATCCGCGCATTGAGACAGAAAGGAATGAGGGGGGTAAAGAGAAAGAATGATGAGGGAGGATCGATGCCCGGGAAATATACAGAGGGGTGAATGGAGTTTGACAAAAGGAAATGGTCGACTGCAGGGATCAGGGCATATGCGGGGAGCTGAGTATGCAGGTTTTAAGAGTATATATCGAAGGAATGATAGCAGACATTGCGACTCGCGCGATTGGTATCAGTGCAAACAGATGAGCAATGTGCAGGGGGTGTTAGGATATCAAGGAACGAAAGACATATATGCAAGTGGTATACCGAAAACAAGGTGCGAGGCCGACGGTATCTATAGAAGGGCCTTTGGGGTATGAAAACAGAACCAGACAAATGAAAGAAACCCGGGCTGAACCATGGCCTATGCAAACATGGGTACAAATCAAAGCGCAGGATACATAAGAACAAAGACACAATGAAATGTGAAAAAATGAGAAAACATAAAAAAAAGCGGCCAACCTCCGTGGATAAAAGAAACAGTAGACACCAGATCCCATACGCCTTGCTCGGTTAATTCGCCGATTCCGCGCGTGACCACCACGTTTTTGTTCTTTTGATTAAATATGAACAAGATCTGTGAAATATGATGAAGAAATGAAAAGAGTTGTGCCTTCTCCAACATGGAGAGGCTAGCGACAAGTTGCTGAGCCCGTCAGGAACTTTGCCGGAGCTGGCTTCGCCCAGTCACCATCTTCATATGGAGGGGTTGGCCATTGGCGACTGGTGTTTGCGTCTGTCTTCTCCTCCGCGAGGGGCAGGCGTCTGCATGGCGTTGCGTCTGAGTGACCGAAGCAGACGCCATCGCACTTGGCAGATGGGGAGGGAGTAGGATAAGGACTGGGCAGGGGGCGAGAGCTGTCGTTACCCACGGCTGGGCGACTGTAGTTCGACGAAACTTCCGATGACACTTCAGTCTGTGCCAAACGCCTAGCAGCCCTGCTCGCCGAATGCAAGACCTCATCCAGCAGCTCGTCCTCCTCTTCAGGAGTCTCATAGCGGTGGATAGGGTTGTTCGACATCTGCATTGCGCGCCTAGTCCGGCTGGAGATTGGCGCGCCAGTGCCGCTGGTCGAGACAGGGCTTTCTCCCATCGAGCGAATCGAGCCCTGCGGCATAGATTGACGCTTGGTGTTCTCGATAGGGGAGGTGATTTGCACGGGAACATTGCCAAGGGCGGCCGAGTCAAGCGAATGTTTCACAGTCTGGAGCGCCTTGTCCAGCTCCGAGAGATCGGAACACTGCTTGGACTCTCCAACATTGTTGACAGAGTCCAAAGCCAGAGAGGACCGGTTCGACCAAGGCATGCAGCCAGCGTTAGCCTCAACATCGTCGGTACCAGAGTTGGCTTGGTTGCGACCGGATAGTCTGCGAGCGCGCTTGCGGAGGTGCGAGAAGAAGCTCTCCTTGGGGGTCACTGCGGAATACACGGTGCCCCCGCCATTGAGCGCTCTCTCTGCTTCTTGGCGGTGGATATCAGCGTAGTGATTACCGTGCGAGTTGACAGAAAGCTGTCTGCCAATCTTCTTGCTCGCCTTGTTGGCGCTGGCACTGTCGCCTGAATGGGCGAGAGACGAATTGGCTTGCGCTGTGACCGCATTAGAGAGAGGAGAGACTGGCCTAATCGAGGGCAGGATAGGCATTGGAGCCCCATTAGCCCAAGTGGCACGCTTACTGGCCGCCGGCTTGCTCTTCCCAGCCTGAAGGTCCGAATAAGCCACCGATTGCTTCGAGGAGTTCTCACTCTCCACAGGTGGCACCGGGCTTTCTGACCTGCCGATCAAGGACCTCCGGAACCACGACGACTTGTATGACAAGGTCGAAGATTCACTCGCATCACGATTGGCGGACTTGAAGCTCTTGTCCGATTGCTTCCGGCCCAAAAGGCGAGCTGTGGAAGACTTGGGTCTCAATGGGTCAATGGCATCAGCAAAGTACTCGTGGTTGAGGGCTTGTGTCGAAGTCGGTCTATTCTTAGGATCCCACATCAAACACCACGTGACGAACTGGCTAAGAGCGGCGGGCCACTGGGGCGCCTGAAGGATGCTTTCCATGGAATGGGGCGCCATCTACGTTTCATTAGTAATCGCCTCGTACCGCCGGTAGCGCAGGGTAATCTTACCTTCGGGAACGTGAATCCCAGCTTCTGGGCAAGACGCGAGCCCTCTCTCCACTCACCACCTCCGAGCTTAGCCCCCGACTTGCTGTACCAGTTACCAGGGCTTCCCATAATCTCACAAACACGCCAGACCTGGTCGACTTCGTTTCCACCAGGGAACAGTGGCTTCAGGGTAGCAATCTCGACCGCCATGGCGCCAATAGCCCACATGTCCACCGGTGCTGAGTATTCTCCTGCACGCAGGAGAACTTCAGGCGCCCGATACCATCTGGTAGAGACATATGTCGTGTAGGGGAGCTTGGAGTGAGTCTCCCTGGCGAGACCAAAGTCGGCGATCTTCACAGTATATGTCGGGGGAGTAGAAGGAGGGGTGACGAGGTTAGAGTAACGGCTGAAAGCAGAGTCATTAGGGGCGGATGTCGAGACGAGGATGTTTTCGGGTTTGATGTCGCGATGGAAGAAGTGATGGGCATGGATATGGTCGAGACCCCCTAAAA